TCATGATAACAATAATACTAAGACGTTATGTTTCTCAAAATTTCAACAAATAACTTTCGACTATTATTTTTTTTAACAGAAACAATAAGTTTTTAATGCAATGTGCAAACCATAAACATCAAACCTTCCTTTTTCCTAAATTTTTTAACAGAAACAATCAATTTCATGAGATGCACATTGAAAATCATGATAACTATAAAATATTAGAACGATATGTTTACCAAAATTTCATCAAATAACCTTCTACTCTTAATTTTGTTTAACAAAAATAATAGGTTTTATAATGTGATGTGCGAACCCTAAATCCTCCCATTCCCTTCCCTCTCCCCCTCACTCGCTCGCCCATCTTAGCACTGGTCTTCTTCATTTTCATTCATCTCATCTTATCTCATTTCCGTCCTCCCTAGCAATTACACATGATCTTTAACTTTTTTTGAAGGAGATCCTCTCTCTTTCTTTTTTGATCTCTTTATCTCTCTTTGTATCCTTTTCCCTATCCCTCTTGCTCTCTATATCTCTCTCCCCTCTCTCTCTCTTGATCTTTTTTAGGGAGATCCTTTCTTTCTCTCTCTCTCTCTATCCCCTCTCTTTCTCGATCTTGTTTTTGAGGGAGATCCCCTCCCTTCCTCCCTCCATCCCTCCCTCCCTCCCTCCCTCCCTCTCTCTCTCCCTCTCTCTCTCTCTCTCTCTCTCTCTCTCTCTCTCTCTCTCTCTCTCTCTCTCTCTCTCTCTCTCTCTCTCTCTCTCTTCTCTCTCACTCTCTCACTCTCTATCTCTCAAAGTTTTTTTCTCCCTCCCTCCCTCCCTCTCTCTCACTCTCTCTCTCTAAAAGATTTTCTTCAAATTAAAATCTCATATATAAAAGATTTTTTTTAAACCAAGGACAAGCAGAAGAAAACCAATTTGTTCTCTGATGACTCTTATAGTTTGTATTTGCCTCTTTTTCATTTTATTCATCATCTTCTTCTTCATATACATAGATTTCTTCTTCTCTAGATTTTTTCTTCCCTATCTTCTGGTTTTTTATCTTCTTTTCAGATTTTGTCATCTTTTTTTTCCGTTTACCTCTTCATCGCCTTTTATCCATCTTCTCCTTTATTCGCCTTGTCTTCGTCTTCTTCTTCGTCTTTTCCAACGTCTTCTTTTTTTGCTTCATCTTCTTCTTTATCTTTTAATTTCTTTTTCTCATCTTTAAATTATTCTTTTTAATAATCTTAATCTCTTCTGACTTCTTCTTGTTCTTTGTTTTCTGATTTCTTTTCTTCTTCTCTTTCTCTTTCTTTATTTTTTTCATTTCCGTCAACATCTTACTCTTTGTTTCCACCTTGTTCATGCACAATTTTATTTTTCTTTCTCTTTTTTCGTTTTTTCTTCTCCTTCTCCAATTTTCTCATGTTCTTCTCTTTCTTCTTCATGATCTTCGTCATTCGTCTTCTTAATTTTCTTTTGATTTTTATAACTCTTTGTCTACATCATCTTTTTCCATTTTTTGGTATTCTTCTTTTTTTTCTTCATCATCTTCTTCGACTCATTATTCTTGCTGTTTTACTTTGTCTCATCTTTGTCTTCTTCTTTTTTTTAGCCTTCTTCCACTTTGTCTTCTTCATCTTTGTTTTTCTTTCTTTCTGATTTTTTTTTTCAAATTCTTCATCATCTTCTCATTTTCCTTATTTTTCTTCTTCAACGTCTTTGGCTTATCCGCTTTCTTCTTCTTCTTCTGATTTTCTTTTTTCTTCTTTCATTCTTCTTCGTCATCCATCCTTTTTCCAGCATCTTATGCTTTAGTTTTTTTTAATCTTGTCTTCTTCTTCTTACTCAGATTTTCCTTCTTTTGTTTCTTCTTAATTTTTTCTCGTATTTTCATTCTTCTTCTTCAGCTTTCTTTCATTTTTATTCACATTCTTCTTCGAATTTTCTTCTCCCTATTTTTTTTACTTCTTCTTCTTAATAATCCTAGTGTTCTTATTTCTCTAGGTTTTCTTTGTCTTCTTCCTCATCTTCAGTTTATTATTAGTCTTATTTTTCTTATACTTAGTCTTCTTCTTCTCTTGATTTTTGCTTCCCTATCTTCCAGTTTTATTTTTTCTTTTCAGATTTTGTCATCTTGTTTTCTGTTTACCTCTTCATCGCATTTTTTTCCATCTTCTCCTTTATTCTCCTTTGTCTTCCTCTTTTCCAATGTTTTTCTTTTTTACCGTCATCTTCTTCTTCAAAATTTTATTTATTTTTCCTCATTTTTTAATAATTCTTTTTAATCATCTTAATCTCCTCTAAGTTCTTCTTATTCTTTGTTTTCCGATTTCTCTTCTTCTTCTCTTTCTATTTCTTTATTATTTTCATTTTTGCCAACATCTTACTCTTTGTTTTCATCTTATTCATGCATCAATTTTATTTTTCTTCCTCTTTTCCATTTTTTTCTTCTTCTTCTCCAGTTTTCTCATGTACTTCTCTTTCTTCTTCATGGTCTTCGTCATTCGTCTTCTTAGAGCAAGCCCATAGAGACACCACTAGTGTGGATCTTATTGATTAATTATTAATAGTTTGTGTATTTTTTGTATATAAGACACTTTGTAATATTTTGTTGTTTTTAAAGCATATAATAGAGACACTTTTGATGGGTGTCTTAAAAACAAAAACAATATATATATATATATATATATTTAAATAAATTTAAGTAAAAACTTTTGTTAACAACTTTTAAAACATAATACATTTTCAAAAATATAATACATGAAAACATATAAATTATAGAAGTGCAATTCAGAAGAATTATCAGAACTATGAGAACTCTCATCACCAGAGCCCTCATCACTGGCAACTTCTTCACCAAGATCCTCTAAATTCTCATCGTCGTCTTCATCTCCACACTCATCTTCATCACACACAAAATCATAATCCATATCATCATCATAATCATCAGACGACTCACCATCATGTCACCACAAAGGTCGCTTTCTTCATCATCAGCTTGAACGATCAACTCCTCGATGAGCAGCACACAACAATATACTTTATCTATCTCAAACGAATAAAGAGAATGACTGGAACAATTTGTACCTAAATATTCGAAAATTACAAATCAAAACATAAAAAAACACCAATAGATATATAAGATTCGATACACCTATACAATTTTCACAACACATACAAACCAAAAGTTTCGTCGAAAAATACACCCACTAACTGCTTTTAAAACCCATGGAACAAATCAATACTGCTCCTTAAAATTTATATTATAAATTGTATACTATTATTAACATTCCACTCAAATCCAATCTGTATATAAAACAGAAAACAATCAATGCACAAACACGACAACAAAACCAGATAATTTATACTCATGAACAAAAATAACACACTTATTGAAACAATAAACAATTGTATATACCTTGACTATCGCAAAAGACATATGGCACATTAAAAGCCAATCCTCCAATATTAGAAATCATATGTAAATAAAGTTTGAGAATCATATTCCTAAATAATCAAAAGCGCAAACATGCATACAATATACATCAAGTGAAAAGGATATTTATAATTAATATAGGTTAGGGTTTTCTTAATTATCAATTTTTTTAACAAACGATATACACACAAGAAATCCCACATTTGCCATTTTTCGTGGGAATATCAGTAATATGGAAGATTTATGTATATCAATATAGAGTTTTGATGTACGAATATATAGATATATAGAAATCTCCTATTTCTCATCTAGATATGTACAAATATATATTGATATATAGAAGTCTCCCATTTTTCAGTTATAGAAAACAAGAAATATTCATTTTTTCATATTTACCAACGATATTATTTTAAGTTATTTTAAATTATATATATTATAAAAATATTAATCAAGATGTTATCCATATCTAAACCAGAAACTTTTCTGAAAACCATAGATACGATAGAATAAACAAAATCTCAAAATAAATCTATGTACAAGAATAGTATAATTTTAAATATATACCATAAATACAAAAATTAGTACTCAGATAATTTAATACTCGATTAATAGAATTTCATATATAGTTTGTCAACCAATTTTACCATAAATACAAAAATTAATACCATAATTTGTTGATTTACACCTAAAATTAAACAACAAATTTATTAATTATATATACGGTTATGGTTTAAATCCGATTATTAGAGTTATAAACCAGGAGTTTGTGAGACCTAGCCAAAATCAAATTAAATATATAAAAGCAATGAAATTCGTCCAAAAAGATGCAATAATTCACACTTGGCGTAAGAGCAAGACCGTCTACTTTCTTAACAATACTTGTGTTAAGAGATGAATCCGGGGAAAAAAAAATAAAAACATCAATGACACGTAAAAACATGAAAACATCAACTTTTATATATTTAAATCAATGACACGTAAAAGCAAATACGTGTAATGAACTAAAAAAACTAAATTACCTATCTTTTTTGTCATTGTTCAGATGGTTATTTTTAACCACTTTTACTACACAAATAATTAAACAAAAAGCTAAATAAAAACAAAATAATGGCAATTACCTCTGTAGGTTAAATTAAAAGTCTTTTTATATATTAAATCGGTTTTCTTTTAATAAGAAATTAACTTGCTCCAAATTTAAAAAACAATAAATTTTTTATCTATTTAATTTGTAACCGATAAACAAAAATAAATAAATTATTTTCTATTATATATTTACACCCTAACTATTATATCTTTATAAATGTATCTTATGAATATAAATTATTTTGAAATCCAAATAATGACCATCAACATAATTATTTTACTCCGGTCACTAAGATTTTCTTGCTAAAGGATTCGGTTACATAATACTTATTCAAATCTAAAAATTTGAAAAGTTAAGTGTATCAAAGATGCTCGGAAAATTACTTTACTTTTTAGAATATGCACAACATCACCAAACTACAATCTGCAGCACAAACATGGCTGACAAAATAATATCTACCAATCTTAACTTAAGATATCAATATGCAAACTTAACAAAGAGGCTTTCATGCTAACTATCAAAAGAACCAATTTTTTGGTAAACACAATATTTCACTAACCGTTTTTGTATACAATTTACAATACAAAAATAAAATAAGTGAAACTAAAATTTTGACAAAATTTTAAAGACATTACTCACATAATACATCTAATAAATTAAAAAGTGTATTCCTGCATTGCCTCTTTGGGTCTTCATGATACGGCTGCTATCAGCGATCAGAAGAAACTTATTCAAGAATCTCCGGTTTTTTTGTCTTTGACAGTCTCAAGGCTCCCACCCCAGCTGGTACTCAACTTTTGATGAGTTCGTCTGCAAATTATACCATCTTAGAAACACTATCCTCCCACAAACATATACATTGCTGAAAACACACAACGAAGATAATTAGAGACTATAAATCATGAGAACCAAAGACAACAAAAAAAAGACTATCCACCAGCATAAAGAACTCGAGACACAAATATGATTCCATAATCTAAAGAAAATTTACCTGGCGATTTTAAACAGTCATTGTTTTGTCGAAGTAAGCATACATGGCATGGTAGTTGTATAAGACATTATATTCCACACTGTGATTCATAAAAACAAACAAACAAAAAATATTATGATTCAGACACATCGTCACATATTAATTAAATATCCAAGACATCTCGTTTCTGAACCAAAAATTATCCGAAGCAAAATCAGTTAAAGAAGAAAAGACATTGCAATTTCGTCCAGACACACCATGATAGGTAAAACAAAGTTGGTCATCAACAGAACATGACAGAGATAAATAAATAGTGAGATCCTGTAAATTATGTTAATGAGAGACAAAAAGAGACCCAATCATATCAACCAGTGAGTATGAGAATCAAAAGGCAAAAAAAAAAAACAATAGGGATCAGTAGCACCGGCGTATGTAGCTTTGATCTCGACGACTGTATGAAACTCCTAAGAAAAAAGAAAACAATTCACACCAGTTCGCATCAATTGTAAGTCAAAGAAGATTTTCGAGACCAAAGGATTGAATAAACCTCATCTGAAGAGAAATGGATTTATGATATTGTATCCACGAAAAAAATGAAGCTTGCGGACATGGTAGGATTCCTAATTGTTAAAGAAAAAAAACGAATAAAAAAAAGCTAGATTTGAATTGGACGGCAATACAAAAACAACAAAAGAACATAAAACCCTCTATATGTTCATAGAGAACACAAAAGAACAAAGTGAGTATGAGAACACAAAAGAACAACAAAAAACAAAGAGATCAATGTAAGAGACCAAGCTCATATAACTTGTAAAACACTAAAGCAGTCATCACCTTATACACCGGTCCAAATCCTCCTTCACCAATCTTGTTTTCTGGATCAAAGTTGCTAGTAGTACGTTTGATTTGTTTCAATGTAAACGATCCCATCTGTAAATCAAGTCCCCGAAGCTCTTCTGATAAAACCAAAAAGAGAGATTTGACACAAACAATCAGATCTTAAAAAATGACTAAGACAGTTTCTTGAAGAATAGAATGAACGTTAAACAATCTTTTGACCATTTTCATCCTCTTCCTTTCCACCTAAGTAACCTGTAAGCCTTAGGATTACAACAACAAGCAAAGCGAAAAGCGCACAAGCTGCAACTACAATGCCTGCAACAGCTCCATTGGACAATGGCTTTCCGGTATCAACCTTGAAATCTACAACAAACATGCAATAAAACATAGAAAGAAACATTCACTCACTCACCCCAAAAACTGGTTCTTAAACAACTGATTAAGAGACTGAAAAAACCCACTTGGTGTAATGGTTATGGCGGATATAAGAGGACCGTACACACCTCTTATTGGTAACATGTTTGTGCCTTTACCTGACCACTGCAAATGAATCTCCACCGTACTGATAAGACTGAGGCCTTACCAAGAATATTGTATGATAATTCGGAATAAAAATGGAATTAAGATAAGAGAAGAATAGAAAGATAAGGAAAAAGGATGATTAAATGTTTGATCTTCATAAGATAATAAAACCCTAAAATGGGATCACTATTTATACATTCGTTGCAACAGTAAAACGACATCACATTATTATTAATATTGAACCCTTTCTCTCACACAGAGGCTTCTCCTGTCTTCACTCCACTTTAGCCACTTTCTGCTTCTTTTAACTCTCGAGTCCTCCTTCCTCTTGACCGTTGCTTCTTCCTCATGAAATCCAAATGGATCTTCAACCTATCAATACTCCTCCGTAGAGAAGCAACCTTGTCCTCAAGGTTAATGTCCGGAAATTGACCTGCAACATCAACCAGTTTCTCCCAAGTATTTTCGAAGGCGGGTAAACCCTTCCACTTGACTAACACTTCTGTCTCATTATCCGATTCTGCTCGTCGAGCATCTAGTAACTCCTCAGGTTCAGTAATCCATTCCAACGAAGGACTAATAATAGCAGGGAGTTCCTGAGTTACCTGAGACGTGGCGATTGCCTTCTTGAGCTGCGAGACGTGAAAAACAGGATGGATGTTACTGTGTTTGGGCAGCTCGAGCTTGTAAGCTACCCTTCCGATCCTTTCCAGCACACGATAGAGCCCGAAAAAGCGTGGAGCCAGCTTCTCGTTGCGGCGCTGCACCACTGACTTCTGTCTATAGGGCCTGAGCTTCAGATAAACCCATTCTCCCACATTGTGCTCCACATCACGACTATGTTTGTTAGCTCCTTTCACCATCTTGAGTTGAGCCAACTCCAAATTCTCCCTCAATTCAACCAACAAACTGTCTCTGTCCCTTAATAGGTCATCCACTATTCCATTCGCAGTTGGGGTATCGCCATACCTTACTAGCCGCGGTGGTTCTCTTCCATACACCAAGAAGAAGGCCATGTGCTTGCTCGAGGAATGGTACGATGTATTGTACCAATACTCTGTCCACGGTAACCATTGCACCCACGAGGTTGGCCTTCTTCCTACGAAACAACGAAGGTAAGTCTCCAAGCATCTGTTAACTACCTCCGTTTGCCGTCGGTCTGGGGGTGGTATGCGGTGCTCTTGTGCAACGAGGTTCCCTGCAGTTTGAACAACTCCGACCAGAAACTGCTGAGGAAGACCTTGTCTCGATCTGACACCATGGTTTCCGGATAACCGTGAAGCTTGACAACATCTCTGACGAATGCTTCGGCAACTGTCTTTGCAGTGAAAGGATGCTTCAACTGAAGGAAGTGGCCGTATTTGCTCAGCCAGTCAACAACCACTAGAATCACGCTGAAGCCCTTCGAAACCGGAAGTCCCTCCACGAAGTCAAGACTGATATCTGCCTAAATCTGTTGCGGAATAGGCAGAGGAGATAACAAGCCCGCATGTGAAAGAGTTGCATACTTGTTCTCTTGGCAAGTTTGGCAACCACGTATGAACTCCAAGACATCCTTGCGCATTCCTCTCCAAACTACCTCTTGAGACAGCCATGTATATGTCTTGAGAGCCCCTTCATGCCTCCTAATAACACTCGAGTGAAACTGTGAAAGCAACGTTGGGATGAAGGGTGACCTTCGGGGTATATGTAAACATCCGCCCTTATACAGCAGACCATCCTTAACCTCATAACCCGTGTGGAGCTTCTCCCCTTTTTCAACACTCTTCACAATCAGGCTGAGCTCAGGATCCCCTTGAATTTGCTCTGCCAGTTGTTGTTTGTCCAGAGTCAGAGGAGCGGTAAGTTGCAACTGATGAAGCTCCTCCGCGGGTGGTCTCCTTGACAAAGCATCTGCCACTCTATTTTCTACTCCAAGCTTATACTCGATGCGATAGTTTAACCCAATCAGCTTAGCAGCCCATCTCTACTGAACTGACGACACAGCCTTCTGTTCCAGTAAGTGTTTGAGGCTCCTTTGGTCAGTTTTGATTATGAACTCTTTACCCGTGAGGTAGTGTTTTCACTTAGCAACGGCCTTCACGATCGCCAGCAACTCTCGTTCATAAACCGACTTAACTCTTCCCTTTTGTGAGAAGGCTTGGCTAAGGAAGGCGATGGGTCTCTTCCCTTGTGACAACACAGCCCCGATTCCTGCACCTGAAGCATCCGTCTCGATGGTAAACCTTTCGAAGAAGTCAGGTAATTCCAACACAGGTAAGGTGGTGACTGCAGCCTTGAGCCTTTGGAAGGCTTGTTCTGCTCCATCTGACCACTTGAAAGCCTCTTTCTTAAGTAGCTCATTGAGGGGTCTAGCAATGATTCCATAGTCTCTCACGAACCTTCTGTAGTAGCCCGTGAGTCCTAGAAACCCTCTTAACTCTGTCACCGTCTTGGGAGTTGGCCATTTTACCATCGCTTCAATCTTCTCGGGGTCTGCTGCAACTCCATTACCCGAGATGCGATGTCCCAAGTACGCCACTTCCTTGCTGCCAAAAGTGCACTTCTTGGCATTTGCGTAGTTGTGGTGTTGTTGCATCAGGCTGAACACTATTCTCAAGTGCTCAAGGTGTGCAGTGGTACTCACGATGTAGATCAAAATGTCGTCGAAGAAAACGAGGACAAACTTCCGGAGGTAAGGTCGGAAGAGATCATTCATAACGCTCTGGAATGTGGAGGGCGCGTTGGTGAGGCCAAAGAGCATCACCAAGAACTTGTAATGTCCTTGGTGAGTCTTGAAGGCGGTTTTCTCCATGTCGCTGCAGTTCATCCGGATTTGGTGATAACAGGACTTGAGATCCAGTTTGGAGAAGACCATAGCACCGTTAAGCTCATCTAATAACTCCTCGATCACCGGAATTGGGTAACGGTCGGGAATCGTTACCTTATTGAAGGCACGGTAGTCAACACAAAAGCGCCACCCTCCATCCTTCTTCTTGACCAATAGCACCGTGCTGGAGTACGGACTAATGCTTGGCCTGATAATCTGTGCCTCCAACATTTCCCTAATCAGCTTCTCTATTTCGTTCTTCTGCGTATAGGAGTACCTATAGGGTCTTATGTTCACGGGACCAACGCCTTCCTGCAGAGTTATGGCATGCTCCCTGTTGCGTAAAGGCGGCAACCCGGTAGGCATCTGAAACACTTCCCGATATTCCTCCAATACCCTTTGAACTGCGGGTGTCACTCCGACAGGTTGCTCCGCGCCTTCAAAGAGGGAAGTCAACTCGAGCAAGTAGGCCACTCCACTTTGTTTAATCACCTTCTCCATAGAGTTTAGTGATATTTGTTCCCTGCTCAAATCAGGATCACCAGCAATGGCTACCCAGTGGTCTCCTTTCTTCCAACTCAACGTGCTTCTCCACCAATTAACTCGTGTATCCCCCAGCGAAGCCAGCTACGAATACCCGAGCACCACGTCGTTAGCTCCTAGCTCAAACATGAGGAAGTCCTCTACTATTTCCACTCCCTGAATATCAAGTGAGACTCCAGAACAACGGCCCTTTCCATTGATGATTTGACCGTCTCCCACTCGAACTCCAAACTTGCGTGTATCAGTCTGCAGTAATCCCAACTCTTGAACCAGTGAGCTTTGTATGAAGTTGCTCGTGGCTCCAGAGTCAATGAGGATGATAACTTCCTTCCGACCGATCCTGCCTCTCATGCGCATCGAGCAAGTGTCAGTGAGACCCACCATGGCTTGAAGGGAGAGTGTCACCAGTTCTTGAGGTCCCCCTTCTAGTTCGGCTTGCTCCTTCTCAATCACTTCCTCATCCTCTACGTTTTCGTTGACCTCGCCTTCTGCCAACTCCAAACATCTGAGCTTTTGTTTGCATCGATGGCCTGGAACCCAGGTGTCACTGCAGTACCTGCACGACACCGGTGTGCGAGTGACATTGCTCGGCCCCGCTTTCTTGGTGTCCTTGTTGTAGCTAAAACCCAAACCTTTGCTGAATGTATTGGAGACATTGCGATTGAAGTAGCACGTCTGATCCCCTTCCTGAGACTCAATCAGTTTGGCTATATCCACGATGTCTGCCATGTTCGCAGGCTTGCAACGCACTACTTGGTCCCACAAGCTTTTCTTGAGTCCCCTAAGAAACGCTGATTCTAGCACATCGTCTGGAACGTGGGGTAGCTCCACCGCCAGAGCTTCAAAACGTTCACGAAACTCTTCGACACTCCCTTTCTGAGCTATCAGAACAGATGATCAACGGAGGAACATCCCCGGTTATGCTTAAACCGGATTTTGAACTTCTCCTTCAAATCCGTCCAGTGCACGATTCGCTCTCGCTCCTGCGGACCTCTCCACCAAGTCACAGCTGCGCCCGTGAGACAGGTGACAGCCAAATTCAGCTTCTCGGGCTCGGAAACCCTGTTCAAGTTGAAGCATTTCTCGATCCTAAACAGCCTGTCCTCGGGGTTATGACCTTCAAACGCCGGTAACTCCACTCGCTTGTTCGGAATCTCGGTGTGAGCCTAGGACGGCTCCACTCGCAGCTCACGCGCTGCCGACGAGGGAAACCCTTCCGGGAGTCTCAGTCGCAACTCGTCGCTAGGTCGGGGCAAGATCCCTTCTCCTCGGTGATGTTCTAGGCGAGACTCAGGCGTAAAGGGAGCCGCTTGAGCCGTTGCTGCAGAGATGGGGCTTGCGAACCCTAACGGGGAGGCTCCTGGTGCGACATTCTCCAACTTCCTCAGTATCTCACCTAGCGCATGCTTCATCCACAATATCTCCTTGTCGTGCTTCTCCAGATGTTGTGCGGTGGTCAAGGCCAGAGTTGGGGTCTCCGGAACGTTCATCTCGAGTTCAGATGTCGCAGATCTAGGATCTGGGTTTGTCGCCGTAGGAATCGTCATTTTCTTTCTCGCTCTCAATGAAAGCACCAGTTGATAAGATTGAGGCCTTATCAAGAATATTGTATGATAACTCGGAATAGAAATGGAATTAAGATAAGAGAAGAATAGAGAGATAAGGAAAGAGGATGATTAAATGTTTGATCTTCATAAGATAATAAAACCCTAAAATGGGATCACTGTTTATACATCCGTTGCAACAGTAAAATGACATCATATTATTATTAATATTGGACCCTCTCTCTCACACAGAGGCTTCTCCTGTCTTCACTCCACTTTAGCCACTTTCTGCTTCTTTCAACTCTCGAGCCCTCTTTCCTCTTGACCGTTGCTTCTTCCTCATGAAAGCCAAAGGGATCTTCAACCTATCATGTACTTCCATTCACTTGAAGCGCATCAATTTGCCTTGTGAACGGTTTAGCAACTCCACTTGCTCACTCTGCTATGTTAAAGTCTCTCTTCAACAAATTCCCCTGCAAATAAAAACATCAAAAATACTGAAACTTTGTTTCTCAATCTGTTTATAAAAGTTTTCTGAAAGAGACTCACTTGGACATAAATATCGAAAACTCGATGCCCCAAGCTATTATAAGTCTGGTCATTTGGGAACATAATCTATGCAAAATGGAGCTGCACTTTGTAGCATCCCCTTCTTATGCATGTCCATAGTACTTGAGTGATTGTGGAGAGAGACGTGCTGTTTTGTAATACTTTGGAACCGATTCATTGATCATATTGAATCTGTCTGTTGCTAAATAGTTAGCATCAAAATTGTCTACCCAAATTCCAGAACTACTGTATCCCCATGTTTCAGAGACAGAGGAGAATGTTGATGATCCTCTCCCGTTCAAGTCTTCCACATATGTGTCTTTTTCAATCTTGGCTCTACTTCCTCCACAGTTGATGAACAGAGAATAATCTGCAAGAGAAGTTTGAAATTTTTAAGGTATATATGTGCGTAAAAATTGAATCTTCAACGTGTAGAGATGAGTATACTCCTAAGTATTGAACTATACACTCACGTTCTGCGTCTCCGGGACATAAAAGATCCTTTCTCAAGCACCATTGAACACTACACAAGTAGACATTGTTTTCATTGGGTTTTTAGGGTTTTATGAAACCGAAATGAGGGAAAAAAAAGAGACTCACGAGTTATCGGTTACTGGGACTCAAGCTTCTACCTGAGAAGAGAAGCCATAAACATAAAAAAAAAAGCAAATTACATAGGAAAGAGGTGAAATCGATTTGTCTTTGGGTTTCAGAAAATAGCAAGCTACGAACCCTAAAAAAGTGAGCTCGAGGGAAATCGGTAGCGAGATGAGAGAAAACTTGATCCATCTGCTTGGAAGCATCACACCAAGAAGCCCAGAAGTGAAGCACGACGGGTGCACCGCTCTGGCGCGAATTATCAAGCTCCAACTTTGAAGCGATATCTTTCACCGCACCACCCATATCTTCGAAGAGAAAAGAGAGAGATCTTATGATTTAGAGATTATACGATTTAGAGATTACACAATCGTTTCTCTCTCTCGGAAGAATCTCGAACAATTCTTTTCTGTGTGATTGATTATCAATAACTGAGGATTTTTCTGTCGCTAGAGAAAGCTGAGAGATTTATGTAAATAAATAAAGTAAAGGGCTTTCCGAAAAGAATTGTGGAAGATGTGCCGAAAAGATCAGTACGATTGAAACTGAAGAGGAGAAGAGTAACTCGTGAGAAACACAACGATCATAAGAAGCATACATTTATCCTCTCTCATATGACAGAGTTTGTTTGATTATCCATCTGCATACACCTTCGAAAAAGAAAAAGAAAAAGAAAAAAAAACAGTAGATTAGCTTCATACAACAAATACAACGAAAACAAACAACTATGATATGCATGAACTAAATTTAACATAGATAAAAATATACATGAACAAATTAAACCTAGAACTGAAAATAAAAAAGTGGCGAGAGAGAATTACAGTATTTATAGGAAAATATTTTAGAGTTTACACGGAATTTTAATATGTTAATTTTTTTTTAAGTTGATAAATATAGATACAAATTTATTATGTATGGAAATTATGTTTTTGTATGAATTCAAATCAGAATATATGTTATTAGATAATAACTAAATGATAAGGAATTTTTCTTTTTTAATTTTATTATAATCCAAAAAATGAATAACAACAAAAAAATCTAAATATATTTATTAAAATTTCTTTCCATAAACATAGATTTGATTTCCTTCCCATAAACATAGATTTGATCTTATCATCATAATTATTATTAAAAAATGATTATATTGAAATCGGACTATCTTTATCCAAACTAACCAACTAACTAATTTAATAAACCGCGAATAACACTAAACCGATAATTAGATCACGGTTTTCATTAAGAGTATAATTAGAAAAACCGATGACTAAAGTATGGTGAAAGCGAACGTGAGAGCGCTACGTCAGAAATCTACTTCTCAAATAATAGTATAGATTACAATATTGATTGTCCTCCTAAGTCTCCAAAGAAACTTAATATATAAACGTCACGTATGTGCTTTGTCAATCACATACCACATCCACGACGGAAAAAAAATATTAACATGGTCTTCTTATATGTTTCTCATGATGCTTTATGTCACTCTAATTCAGGAAAAAGAAAGTCCGACATTCCTCAGAAGGTTGTACTTAATTGACTCTTATCTTTTTCAAATAAATCCATAGCGTTCAACATCGTTTCTATTATATTCTAATATAGAGTTTTGCATGGATTCATCTTCAGAAATCCAAAAGAGTGGCGGCTAACCCTCCACAGGTTACAAACCATGCTGCGCATCAATTCAACAATATTATGGTATTCAATGAAGTTGGTCAAAAATGTGACAACAAAGTTCTGCACAATCATCAAACCCACTTCCAACCTGATGCCAAAGTCTATCAACCATTGTCAGATTCTAACTCAGATTCGCTATGAGTTCCAAATACTCTTTCAAATTTCAACTACTTCTCTTTGTAATAGGATTGCCCTTTCCTACTCGAACATGATATCATGGATGGAAGCCAATACGACATATGATTCGCCTACAAACTATGCTTTCACTCAGACTCCATCGTCTTTTGTTTGGGATAACAAAGCAAACATGTGGCAACTTAAAAAAAGGTATCTGTTGGTAAAATGAAGGAAGGATCACCTACAGTAGTGGAACTATAGCTGAACGATATTACCATTTTGTTCACGGCCGCTTATACTACAAATTCAGTTGCTGCTCTGTCTCTTTTATTTTCTTCCACAGTCATAATAATAAATTGTCAACCTCGATTTGGAACTCCATTAATAAAATCTACATCTGTCTCCACCACTACATGTGCTCAATTATAATCACCAAAAATATATCGATATATATATATATATATATATACTCACATATGTAGTATAGAGTGTTCTAAGATATAATTTAAATTATTTAGGTCGAACTATAAAATTAAGTATATACACAATTCGGGTTTCTAATATAAAGCACGAGGTTCTTGACAAAAAAAAAAAAATATATATATATATATAAAGCACGAAGTTGAACACTTTCGGAGGACCATAAAATAAACGAAAGCCCAGTTAAAAAACAAAAACCCAGTTAAAAAACAAAAGCCCATTAAAAAAACAAAAGCCCAGTTAAAAAAACAAAAGCCCAAACAAATAGGTTAACGACATATGTTGTCTGATTTCTCGAGAATGTTCTTCCACCTTCCAATACTTGAGATTCCAAAACCTTAATTACTCTGTAATCGATCTACCTCCCCACTTTCTCATCTTCCATTCCCACTCGATTCTCACAATTCAATGTCTTCAATGATCACTCCCCTCAAACTAACCCGCGCTCTCGCGCAAGCTTATAATCCAACCCCACACAATCCCTCCACCTACACCAAAGCTTCCAAAACTGTTACAACCAAATAACAAATTTAGCCATGGCTTCTACAGCTCTCCGTCGTTCCGGCCGGCCATCAACTTTCCAGATACTCAACAATAATCAAGGTGATTTCTGCAACGACGAAGTTTTAGCCCGCCTGGTCCATTTTTGGGAAGCCAGGAATTTCAAAAAAGGCAACATCCTCATAGGTTTTGAACTGCTTTTACTCGACTCTGAGGTATGTCTCCCTACTCTTTCCATACAGACATTTAGCACCACACAATGTAAACATTATTCTAATTACAATTCCACATTCTAGTGCAGTTCAAGGTTTCATTTCTGCAAACCGGCTGTTTAGACATGAGGAGAACCTGAAGTGAAACTCTATTTACAAGCTTAAAAAATTCTTGATCAATCCCTGCAAAACGCTTTATAAAGTCTCCGACCACAATAAGACCATCTGTTTCACTGACCAGACAACAATGGTGGAGGTAACTGAGGGGGATCACGAAATAGAAACCCAGAAATTCAGATTACGCACCTTCAATGATTTTTCTGCCATCGCCGACATGGAAACCGATCTCTTCGATAAGTAAAACACTACATCCTATTACTCAACGTCAAAACCATTTCAGTTTTACTCATTTCAGTTATGCTTCTTCTAGATGTCGTTGGACAAATTCGCCTCATAAGCGGAGATAACCTTCGTTCTGCCAACGGAGACGCAACTCAAGTCCTAGGCGATAGAACAAAAGATAGAGTCTTCTTGCACCTGCATATGAAAGAGTAATACGTTATGTTTGAAATTACTTTAAAATATACGTACTCATTAAAACTACCCACTGATCGTATCGTCTCTTAAATTGCCTTAACAGTGGTGAAACTATCCGTATTTACCTTTGGTGCAATATTGCTGCTGCATTTCGAGAGAGATGGAACACAAGCGACATCCAACCCGTTGTCCTGCTCATAACCACCGTGAATCCAAAAACTTTTGGTAAACCAGTTAACATCTTACATTTTGATATTTTGTTTCAAATTACAGTATTTGATTTTAGGCTTCACTGGTCACAATATACACCCCCATATGAAAACATCAAAGAACCTTATGGTTTATTATTAAAATGCAGAGTGACGAGTTTTAAATTGCACCATTGACAAGTAGAAACCCATTTACAAACCCATTCACAACTCTCATTACATATGTTTGTCACGTTTCCAGGTGCAGTAACCTTGAGCTCAACATCAGCGACCCGTCTATTTTTCGATACAGACATTGCAGAAACTATAGAGTTCATGACATTGTCTGCTTCCATACTTCACTGTTATTATTATTAACATATATAATACGGAAAGTGTCTAATTCTGTAAAGTCAATTTGACAGGTTGGGTGGAGACACAGAAAGCATTCCAGAAATCACTTCCTCCTCTGCTGCTATTACCAAATTAGAGAAAGTCACTCTAACTGAGATCTACCAATTCATCAAAAATGAAACACCACATGTATAATACAGTTCCATTTGAACCGTTTAATCGTCATTTGCTTCGTTGGAATCTCATTCTTCCTGCTTCACTCATTCTTCGTTGCAATCCTATTATTATTACCCGAGCTTGAAAACATGAAATCTTTTAATATAACAACTTTCACTACACATATTGCTAGTTCTATTGTTGTTGTACAATAGTGGATGTTCCAGAACAATCAGGCTAGTACTACATCTCATGCAAGTGCAAATCTAAGTTGGACAAGTCTGAAGTTTCACTGTACTGCACCACATGTAAACAGACTAACAACGTTGATCTTATCAGGTTACATTATTACAATTTTCTGAATTCTCCGATTGAACAAAATAACACAAAACATCCAATACAACAACATCTACTTCAACGCAGGTACCGCTTTGAAATTTCAGTCCGTGATGCGAACAACGACACCGCTACGTTCGTCCTATTCGACCCAGATGCAATGAAACTTGCCGGAAGAAGTGCCACTGATGTTCTAAATGACACCATTGAGGTATAATCTCCACATTTAAAATCTTGCGTAAAGTTACTAAGTTTAATCTCACGTACGTTCACGTTCAGGTTGAGGGCGATAATAAAGCTCAACAAACCAACACAAAAATACCAGAGTGTCTGAAAAAAATTATTGGCCGGACCTGCGAATTCCAAATCAAGCTTACCACATACAACTTTCAAACTTCACGACAAACAATCACGGTGTCACGTATTGACTATTGTAGACGACAATGTCGACCTCAACTCCACATCCACGGAAGAAACCTTGAACGTTGAAGACAATGAGGGAAAGTTGGAAGTCACATGAGAAGAGGGGACAACAAACACAGAATTCATTTCGGACGAGTTGGTGTTCAATGGTGAGAATAAGACCAAGCATCCACGTCACTGAATGCACCATCACTCTTCTCACTACTGCGTATATTTGCTGCTCTCATCTTTCATTTCAACAATCTTTAATTTTTCGTTCATTTCCATTTTTCTTTCCAAATTTAAACCACTTTAATAAATTTTGTCTTTTTTTGTTTAACCGTTTAATAATAAACTTTCTATTCTCCCTCGTAAGAAGGTTATAATAATATATTTTCATTTACTTACCCACTAACCATGTTCGCAACCAAACATTTTCAAGTGAATAAGACAGAATTATATACATACTTATTTTTGGTCTCCACATGCCGCTCTTTAAGTATCGATTAATTGTTTCTTTTTTGATTTCATAACTTGATGGATCATGTCCAGTTTATAAAATTTTGTGTAACTTAGTCGTGGAATGAAAAGAGTTTTCAGACTCTTAAAATAAACAAGTCCAAAAATTCCAACATATCACACCGGCTGTCTTCAACCCGAACAATCAAATCAATCACGCCTCCATGAAATTTGCAAATATGAGAGGTAATTAATAATTCCGTTGAAATAGGCACCTATATTAAAATTAAAATCATAAACCAGATTATATTTGGAAAGTAGAATATACTTAACTCTCAAATCAACGAAATCAACTTCCGTGAATTAGAAAAGAACATACAAATAAACCTCACACCTGTAACAAGCACATCCTCTACGAACTTAATAGGCTAGAAAGAACGAACTCATCTTCCCAATCAGACAGTATGGCAAAAGACGGCCAACAAAATCAATCTCCGGAAGCGACACACAATAAACAGAGAAAACGAAAACGTGGAGATCAAGACCTTCAAACCAAATCTGGTCCCTCTCTGTACCCTTTTTATATATTCAATCATTTCGTACTATTAATGTTGCCCTATATCGAACTTTATATCTCCTAAATCACTTTATCCTCAGATCAACGCCAAGGCATACAACAAAGCACATTAGCCAGATATTATCATTGTAAGTTTTTAACTTAAAACACTAACATTACCTATTTACAGCAATCCACGCACAATTGTTACAATTACTAATAAATGAATAAGCTCATTCCTGTTTCTTATTTTATAGGTGGTTGAACCAGATGCTCTGTATTCGGTAAACAGACGCCCCAACACCCAGCATTTCACAGTCCGAAATTCGAAGTACGCTACTGAAAAGACAAACGATTTATCTAAAATAGTTTACTACCTATGTTCTACAGTGAATGCAAAAAAGCACGGTCTATGTGAAAATCGATTATGCTTTCAAAAAGATGGAACTCAACTGCTGTATCAGGAGAATCTACAATAGCTGGTCCAAGCTCCGTAAGTCAGGAAATCATAGTTCCAAACAAGAATAACGGCTGCCAAAAAACATCACGAAAAAGTAAAGGTATATATCTACACCTACACACTAATATGTGCATCATAACTGTTTAAATTTGTTAAATATTTGACATTTTCAGTCTTGACCATATTAACTATTATAAATACAAAACTTCAAACTTTATACAAATGATTGTTTATATTACAAAAGCTCGATTTGTTAACCACAACATTGCTCCCCCTTAATATGCCCACTTCCATTATCACAATATTTAGTTAAGTAACACTAACTTTTCACATTCACCTTTTCCACACTTATATTCTCTCCAGTCCCGGAAAGAGAAATATTAAAATGATTATGATTCATCACAAAAAAAAAACAAATTTTTTTTTAAAATCTGCAATCTTAATCCTAAAAGTTTAAATTTTTTTTTGTTTAGATCTACATGGATTAAAACAAATCAATCTCTGTTTTCCTTGCAACCAACTATTTAATAATTTGAAAAAATTACGTCTTCATGCAGGCTTTTTAAAGGGGAAAAGTACACAACACAACCTACCGACTACCAAATTTTACGACTGTAAATTTCTTTACAGTACAATAATCTATAATACAGTCAATCATATATGATTACATACTCTTCTAACGACAAACCATTTTCAAAACAAATGTTCTAGGTGGATGTGAAAAATGTACTGATTATAGTAATTTCATCTACTACATTCTCTTTTAATAATAAAAAAAAATGGAAATCATAAATATATGAATCTATTCCTGCAGTAAGACAAAAGAATACACGAACATTGAGACGTGCCATCATTATATCCAAACGACAATAAAAAAAACAAAAGGGTAAGATGAGTAATAAAATAGTTTTATAATATTGAAATACCCTAACTTAAACAGTCTTATACATATATGTAGGTGAATGTGATGCATCGACAAGTATTCAACAATTATTAAGAGCAGAAAGGAAAAAAGACCAAGGTACCTCTACTAAACGAAATACAAACAAAACATATGACAACGATACTTATGTATCACTAATTACATATTATATAAACCAGATTCAATGGCAAAAGAAAATCCGATTTTGCAATGCAGCTACTGCAATGCATTAGTTTGGTATTCAGAAAAAACTGGAAATGATAGATCAGGAGTGTCCACGTTCATGATATGTTGTCAATAAGGTCGTGTAAAACTACCTCTTATAAAAAAACCCGTCCATTTTTCTTCAAAAACTATTGGATAATAGTTCAACTTTTCGTATATTAATACGAATCTACAATTCCCTTTTTGCATTCATATCTATTGGAGCAAAAATAGATCATAGTGTGACATCCGGAAATGGACCACCTGGTTTCAGAATACATGGGCAAAATCTATTGCATTGGATCGTTGATACCCATGCCTGGCCAGCCTCCCAAATTCCTACAAATGTATATTTTCGATACGGAAAATGAAGTCTCCAGTCGAATAAATTCTATGTCCCGTCGAAAACCAGATAGGAAGCTAGAAGAAGAAGTTGTTGAAGGGTTGATTAAGATGTTAGACGAACACAACTGTCTGTGTAAATTCTTCAGAAAAGCTCGAGATCGATACAAAGCTAACCAAGTGCAAGACTTAACAATAACATTAGTTGGGCAAAGGAAAAAGGGAAAACAATACGATCTACCAGAGGTGAATGAAGTAGCAGGTCTGATTGTAGGTGATATGACAGCTACCACTGGATACAGAGATGTCTTTCTACAATTGCAGTCAGACCAGTTACAAGAAATAAATGATAACCACCCTTTGTTTATGAGTTTACAATATCCGCTATTATTTCCCTACGGAGAATATGGATTTCATATTGAAATACCACATGCTTTGACACAAGAAGGTGAAAGAAAAAGGATGTTCATTAGTATACGAGAGTTCTACGCGTATCAAATCCAAACAATACTTTCTGAGGGCATGACAATTATAAAGGGTGGCCGTTTATTTCACCAGTTTGTTGTTGATGCATACACTGCCATTGAACAAGAGAGACTTAGATGGGTAAGGAGTAACCAAGATCAGTTAAGAGCAGATCTATACAACAATATCTTTGATGCAGTTGGTAAAGGTGATACAGAAGGCAACAAACATGGGAAAAGAATAATATTGCCATCCAGTTTTACGGGTGGCCCAAGATACATGGTTGAAAAATATCATGACGCAATGGTAATATGTAGAACATATGGAAACCCAACTTTGTTCATCACTATGACTGCAAACCCAAACTGGAATGAAATAAAGGAGCATCTTGCAGCCTATGGTGGGACATCAGCCAACGACAGACCGGATATTGAAAGTCGTGTCTTCAAAATGAAGCTCGAGCAATTGCTCAAAGATATAGAGCATGGAATTTTCTTCCGCCCTTATATTGCAGGTCAATTACTAACGTTAAATATTACTAAAACACACAACTATATCATCTACTAATATTTTCCCTTCTTTTTGTTTATTTAGTGGTTCACACAATTGAGTTTCAAAAATGTGGCCTTCCCCATGCGCATATGCTTATTTAGTTGGATAAATCATCGAACATCCCAACACCAGATGAGATTAACCAACTCATCTTTGCTGAACTTCCAAACAAAATAGATGATCCAATTGGCTATGAGCTTGTGGTAAAGCACATGATGCATGGACCATGTGGAAAAGATAGGCCATCATCACCTTGCATGGATAAAAAATGCTTGCACTAAACAATATCCACACCCATATAACGACTGCACCACGATCGATAAATCTGGCTACATTGTTAACCGTCGTCGTCAAGATGAGGCAAACAGTGCCCTCAAAGGAGCAATAAGGTTAGACAATCGCTTTGTTATTCCCAATAACATTGAAATCTTGAAAAAGTATCAAGCGCACATAAATGTGGAATGGTGTAACACATCAAATGCTATCAAGTATTTTTTCAAGTATATCACAAAAAGTATGGATAAAGCGACAATTTTAATTGAAACTGGTAATGCGGGACCATCAGAAACTGAAGGTACAAAAAAATTACAAAAGAGAGGAATGAAATTGAAGAGTATCTTGATTGTCGTTATCTATCAGCATGTGAAGCTATGTGGCGTACATTTGCATTCCACATTCACAAAAGAAAACCATCAGTCTAGAAGCTGATTATTCATCTACAAGGGCAACAATCAATCACTTTCCAAAAAAAAGATGATCTTGGACGTGTTCTATCCAGATTTGGGATTGAGAAAACAATGTTCACCGAATGGATGGCGATGAATAACTGTTCTGAGGAAACAAGAAAATTGTTGTATGTTGAATTCCCATCAAGGTTTGTTTGGGACAAAACCAACAAAGTATGGCTGAATAGACAACGAGGATCCTCTATTGGCAGAATAGTAAATATACATTCGGCCTCTAGTGAGATTTACTACCTTCGAATATTACTCAATGTGATAAGAGGTGCGAGAAGCTACAATGAGTTATACACTGTCAACGGTGATAAAAAAGAAAGCTTTAAAGCAGAATGTTATTCTGGAGGTTTGTTGGACAATGATAAAGAGTGGCATCATGCAATGGATGAA